GCTCTCCATCGTAGTTCTTCAGGCAAATGATGCCTAGAGGTCATTATTACGAATTGGCTATCTCAGATTTTCAATGTCGCAATCACAGTAAAATTTGTGTGCTTTCTCTCAAACTTGGACTTTTATGCTCCAGGCAGATGACGTAAGCCGAGTGCAGCGCCACTAATTTGCATATTGCAATTTTACTCAGCTACTCTTAGTGGACAACATATGCAAATTTTGCACGGTTTGGCTTACTTTTGAAAGAGTTATCGCTATTTTTGTGATTTTTCCTTAATTTATGATAACCAGTGTATTTCAGTTAACGGGCCACAAAAAAAAAAAAAAGCTTCACGGGCCTGATGCAGCCCACGGGCCGAGAGATAACCACTGCTGTAAGACATTCTAAATGGCATTTTCTTTTCAGCTGTCACTTTTAAATGTGTTTTTCGATATTTTAAATATATAAATTCCTTTTCGGGAAATGGCGAATAGTGCGTAAAAACTGGAAAAATCCCAGAAAATTAATTAATTTATATTATTTTATATTTTTACAATATATTCGATAGTTTAGCATGCGAAAGGTGCTTCTTACATAAAAACAAGTGTATTTCTTTGTTAAAGAACAATCTCCCGTTCAGATATAAAAGGTTTTGGGCCCATTGTGGGTCCCCTAATTGCTCTATAAAAATTTCCATTGGTACAGTCCGCAAAAAAAAACAAACGAATCACCCTGAATAACTTTCGTTCTAATGATCGGATTTTCACGAACTAAGTGCCAATCTTAATGATACCTGAGGGTGACCTCAAATATGCTAATTAATTAGTGCTAACTATTAATTAATATACGAAATCAGACACAAAAACGTACTTTCTCTGAATAAACACAATTTTTTTTTTACATATTTGGAATCTAGACACTTGAATTAGGGGGGGGGGGGAGACAAAATTTAAAAAAAATTGGATCGTAAATTGGGTCGCATTAAAGGTTTATATATTTGGCGATAGTCCAGAAAACCGCAAAAAAAAAAAGTCGCCTGCGCAAATGAATATTTTAAGATAACCCATTGACTAATTCAAAAGAGGAATGCTTAATTTTACTAGGTTGCTAGGCAACCATGCTATGACAGTAAAAAAAAAATTGAAATAATGTTTTGTGATTGCTCAGAGAGGTTTAATTCATTGTTAATAGAAAATATATCGAAGTTTCTAGGCAATAGACAATTTTTAAGCTGATTTCTGTCTAAAAAGCAAAAAAGAAAAATTATTTTAATGTCCTTTGAAAAGAAAATTTGAATCGATTTATAAATTATTTATGCTTTTCTAAGTTTTTAGAATTTAAATACATGAACTTTTTTTCTGATATTGTTTAGATTATGCTGTCTTTGCTAAATTTATTCGAGGATTTCATACTAAAATCAAATTAACAAAACTTATTACAGCTATATACAAAATTTTAGGGATAATCATTTTTACAGCTTTAACCCCTTGGGGACGAGTGATTCATGAAAGCATTCGTACAAAATCAGAATCAGAATGTAAATATATAAAAAACGGTAGCTTAAATGCAGGCATTGCTAATTTCACAGACTTACTTTGCCTTGATTTTAATTATTGTTAGTTTAATCATATATATAATCAATGTTAGTTCAAAGTATAACTAAATAATTTTATTTTGAACTAAGTAATGGTGAATTAAATAAATCAAACAATTATAACCCCGCCCACAAATAAACTGCTAAAGAATTACTTTGATTACCAGTTTTATCTTTTTACCCTGGTTGATACTGTTTTATGCTATCACGTATTTGTGACAGTCGGCGCGAAAGGGTTAATCGAGTCTTTTAGGCAAGAAAGTTTGAAGAAAAAAAAATTGCTTGAAAAATAAAATGAAGATTGTATAGTAATTCTAATGCACATTCACAAGGTTTTCTGTGATTTATGATATTTCTTTTTTCTATAACTCAAGGAATTGCTGAATGTTTAGTGGCATTTTAAGGAAATTGAAATATATTGTGTTTAAGAATAAGATATTAAAATAATATGTTGCTTATTGTATGATTCGTTGTTTATAAAATCGCTTCATTCTGCTAGATATTTAGGTTACATGGTTTTCTTTGGATAATGATGAATAGCAAATAGCATCCTCGTGTTTCGATGCATTCTGAAACTTACGTTCGCAAATTCTCCATACAATGTCGCACAGCATATTCTTCAATTACGATATGCTACATTTACCACCAAATACTGCTACTATGATTATTTATGTTTTCTTATATATATCTGATACTCTCCTTTTAAAGAGAGCTAGTAAGATCCTTAAGATACTGAAATGGGGCCCAAAAACTTAAAAGATAAAATATTTAATTTCATTAACTCAAAATATCTGGCGTCAAAATTTTAATTTTTAAGTTACATATAACTTTTACAATATTGATGCTCTTAAGTTTTTAAAGACCACATGACGCCTGGTAAAATATTAAAATGCATACGTTTACTTTAACGAGTGTAAAATCCTTATCAAAATAATGATCAAGATCCAAATGTAAAACAGTATAATTGACGATAAAAACTCAACTGGCTTCAAAAACTGGCTTCTGGGAAGTAAAAGTCGACATGCTTCGAGCGTTCAAATACAATCACCCATTCTCAAGACTTGTCAGGCTTGAATAACTTGTGACTTTCATTATTGGACGCTCAAGACATGTATACTTTTATTATCATGTATTATTTTTTTTAAATCAATCAAGTTTTTATATTTTTGATTCAGTTTCTTGGGATTATCCATTTAGTTACAAAACATATTAAATTATTTCACTCGATATTAAAATAAGTTTTGAAAAGGTATTTTTTTATGTATCGATGCCAAAGTTTATTCTACAAATATTTTAGGGTATGCTTTCGGAGTATTTTGATCGAGTTTATTTTTACACCCATATTTGCTTTAAATTATTAAATAATTTGCTTAAAATAAATTATTCAAGCTACATGATCTAATGCATTTATAGTACAATAGTAAACGGGGCTTCCATCGCCTATTTTTAACCTTAGTACCGTTATCATTAAATAAATAGAATAAGCTTAGATAAATAATAAAAGCTAATTTTTTCCTTGTTTTAATTTTCAAGGAATAATATGTTTCGATCAAACAGATTTCATTCTGGAAATAGCGAAATTATTGAGTTGGTCCCTTGGAGTAATATTATTCTTATCCTCT